GATAGCTTCAAGTGCACCAGATTGTTTCTAGTGAGGAAGAATATGCGCTGAAAATAGATCTCACTCTTTCCCCCACCGTCAGCAATAGGCCACCGCCTAGCTGATCAGTCGCATGAGGTGGGATTGGTGCAGCGTTGCGCAGTGCGTCGATATCACCACACTGGTACAGGGACGCTCACCGATCGCATTACGGGATTCACTCCTTCCGTTACGCTTTGGGGCTCAGTTTCGAGCTCCGGCAGCAGCCGCACAGTGGCCAATATATAGGTAGAATAACATTAGCGACACACAGCAGACGACGCAGATCCACTTAACGGGTGTGGCGGCCTATCTCACCATGGTGTTAAGGATAAATAGAAAGGCATCTTAGCCCTCATACTCTAGTCGGAATGTTGTAACAGCGTTGATCCTAGTGATCGGGCACATAGTCCAGAAACACTTGAGACCTTCCCAGTGGCTTGGCCCTTTTTCATACCGTGGGTTGGCGTTGTGTTTCGCTGATATACAGCTATCATGGCAACAATCCATTCTTTGAAAACCCCCATTCAATACTGCTATCTCTGGCGATGAGTCTAATTACTTTGATCACTTTTGGTGGGGAAGCTGTAGCCAATGTGCATTATCACAATTTTAATTCTTCCAGCGAATACGTACTTGGAGTTTCACCGTAGCCGGACGGTTTATCGTCTACAAATAAATAGCTGCTTCGTCAGTGTTCTGGGCCCTTTTTCCCATGTGAGATTATAGCCGCAACTGAGTGGACCTGCTTCTGCTATTCCATGATCCTGTTGATGGTATCAATGACCTTGCACGTTCATCATCTATCTACCGGTTTGCGCATGGTCCCGCTCAGTTTGCTAATTGCCACTGGGGGCGTTTCATCAGTTCACCAATTTTCCTCATCAACCGCGTCATACTAATCAGATCTAATTAACTGTTTTTGAACGGCTGTGCCATCAGTGAACGATCCTAGCCTCGGGTTAGCCTCTTACGCACACTTAGTCCCGTGGACATCAACCGCAGGCCTACACAAACTAGTAAATCGTCCAGTCGACTTATCATTCGCGTACCTTTAGGCGTATCGAAAAAGCGCACTCTGACATTGGCAACGTGCCCCGATACGTGAGTCAACACTCAAAAGTTCTGTACAGAATAAAACGTACATAATAACGTCCAAGTTTAAAAACGATGGCTTCTAAAACCGATGCTTTTGCAATGGCTAGATGCTTCCGACTGTAAAGTTAGTTTGGCAATCTTACGTGGCGCGCCATGTAGTTTCTATCTGCAGCCTTTCTGCACGTTGCGAAACCTTTTCTATTATTGATCAACTCTTGTGTCTTTAATTACTGATCCCCTTTTCACTGTGGCAGGAGTCAAGGAAGCAGTACGTAGTCACTGTTTCCCCCCAACCCGAGAACGGCCTCTTACTCGTGCATTTCTCTGAGAGCGCTGCCGCAAAGTCGTCTGCAGCCGCCAGTACAGAAAAGAACGACGATAACGTCGCCGCCACTCAGGGCCACATGTCCGTTGCCCTTCGGATCTTTTTCACCTCATTTCGCGTCCTCCAGCTGTCAGGCAAGCCAAAGCAACCGAAAGAAGCTGCAGGTGAGTGTATACGACCGGTTGAAGCGTAGGCCGTCAGCATTTCCGCTGTACACTGCTAGGTGTATGTCATTCTCAATTTTTTACTGCATTAACCGGTTTATTTCATAACTATTTCCTAGTGGTACACTTAGACTAACTTCAAACGTGGAGTCCAACGATCGCTTTACAACCAAAAGCCAGTCTGGTTACTAGGTAGCGTAACTGCCGATCAGATTTCTCATTATGCTAACCGCCTACAGTCAAAAACTGAATGCACCAGGCACCTACTTAATACTGCAGAATAAAACCGTCGTTATTGGTCGTTTTTTTCTGCCAAATTCTCATTCGAAAGAGTAGATGTCACTTCATAGTTGTAGATGTACAAGGCACCTCCCCGCCATTTATCTTAAAATATTAGTTACGTCGTTCTATGAACTGGACGCTACTGCATCTCCTGTAATGTTAGTGTTTTATCGATTATTTAAAAAAAATTAAGTGGGGTTGTTGTAGTGATCATCGCACAACCTAATCTCAAGATGCTTCAGTCACGTCAGGATGCCAGCTTTTGAACGAGTTTCATTCCGATCGCCTGTAGAAAGCATACCCTCTACAAATGGCCACTTAAGTAGTATGTGCTTTCTTAATTGATTTTAAAAACGCATACTACTTAAGTGACCATTTTTTGACAGTTCATGCTTTTTTGCAGGAGGCCAGAAGGATGCTCGTTCAAATGCTGGCATCCCGAAGTGACTGAAACATCCTGAGATTAGGTTGTACGATAGTCATTATTACAACACAACTTACTTATCGCGCCCAAACCATTTACGTAATTTTTTGCTCTTAAAGTACGCGTAAACAGCAGAATTTATTTGTACAAACAAGTTTGTTGACAACTTTTCAACTGCTTCCCGTCTTTGCATGAATAAGATAACAAATGGAGAAGACAGCAGTTTGAATTTGCACAAAATCACTTCATAACAGCAAGGTCATTTTTCAACGCGGGAATTAGTCAATAATAGTGTGGCCTTTAAAATTGGGATACAGGATGGAAAATTGGGGACGGGAATTAACGAAAAACAAAGGTTGGTTAAATGTAGGCATGCGATTACCAGGGCAGTTGGCAATTAGCCACATGATCTAGCTACTTACATAGGTCGGGTATCTCCCGCCGTACATAGGCTGCTTCGTGCTCAAACAAGAACTCCGAAAGATGTTTTGTGGTCAACAGAATGACCACTGTTTAGCAGGTGTTTTGTAATGGAGAACCGTGGCACTTTGTTTTCTTGTTTTTTAAAATCCAATTAGGTAACTGTTCAGCGATGTGTGCTTTGCTCTCTGTTTGCTATCTAATTCATGCAATGACAGGAAGTCGTTGAAAAGCTGTCACGAAACTTGTTTGTACAAATAAATCCTGCTGTGTATGTGTACTTTAAATTCGTACCTGAGAAACAATGCTTTAAATGTTAATTTGTTCGCAGCAAAAAGACGTTTCAAAAGTCCGGTTGACATGTCATGTCATGTCCTCTGGAGTCATCTAGTTTGCAAGCGTTTTCCACCGTTTTGGCAATTTGTTTTCTTGACATGGACATATCTGACACACCTCTCTCCGCCTACTCTTTATTGCCGCCGTCGCAGGGCATTTTGCTGAAAATGAGGATGGTGCCGGTGATCAGGAGGAGGAGGAGGAGGCGAACGAGGACGAGAACGAACACCTCGGTGAAGCGCTCCCATGCAGTAGCAGCAACTGTCTGCCCAAAAAGCTCTGCATTGATGCGCTTACCGAAGTGCGGCGTGCCGTCTGGCTTCAGGTACACCCCTGCCCTCCCGCACTCGATCCCATGTACACCCTGATACACCACCCTGCACTCAACAGGTGCACAGAATGGCTGTGGGTTTGTGTGAGCTTGCCTCCACTCTACCCCACCCCTTGTCAATCTGTGCGCCTGTGTGTGTATGCAGTACGCGGTGTCTTTGGGACCGTAATTGAACTCTTCCACCCCACCCACCCCTTATGACGCTGAGCCTGTCTGTCTATTTACGCGTGCCTACCAGCCCCGCGTCTTACAAAAACGACGACAGTTTGGGGGCTGGTTCCTCAGCTTCCTCCCCCCCCCACCTGTTCGTTTTTGTAAGGCGCGTGCGTGCTGAAGGTGGCCGGACAACGAGAACTCACTACTGCGCTGCTCTGCAATGAGGAAGATTTCGGGCAAATCGTTATTTCTTGTTCTTGTCGCTCTTTTATATTATTGTATGCAGACGTTGATCTCTGAACTGATCGGACTAGGAATTGCATGCTAGTCTCTAATAGTGCTGCAGAACATCAGGAATCTCAAGTGGATTATTTTCTGAAAGGCACTTACACCTAGGGTAGATTTGATCAACGCTAAGTCTTCTTTTGTGGTGCATAAACCTCTCCCCCGGACGAGTTGTATTGTTGCACACAAGGAAAGAAATTATTTGCAATCCTCCTACCAACTTCGAAATGCCTAATCGTGAAAGTGTGTTGCGTGAATATCCGTTAAATAATGCCATGTAACGCAAACAAAATAATGGTTTATATACTTTTTCCGAAAGATTGAGTTTGAGTCTTACTTTATCACCCTGTTAAGGATCTTGTTAACATAACCGTACCGTAGTTTACTATACATACCTAAATACTTACCGATAAAAGTACGAGCAAATGAGAAGCCAATGGGAAGTAAAACCGGTAAGAAACAGGAATTTGCCACCATTTAGAATGGAAATCGTATATTGGTTTTTCCAGATAATCGTAAAACTATGACGGACGACTTTCCCCCGTTTAAAAAAAACTGATAATAGCTTCTGATGCATTTGGAAATATCTTTTATTGCGATTAGTTAAAAAGCAACCCCGTGGCCCTAAGGATATCCGTATGGGGAGTGGGTGCATGGTAAATTACGGTACGCTGATGTTTGTAAGGAACCCTTATCGTCTCAGTATGCACAACTTCCCAGCCACGTACACCCCTGTGAAGAGACAGGTCTGCGCAATCCTTGCAACTCTGTTTTTAAGTACATCCTTTGGGTGTCAGCCGTGTGAACCGCCGTTCTCACAGTATGCATGATTCCTTAAACCAATTACTCGTTAAACGCTCCGCCTCCTTGTCAACACATGCTATTTTACCAATTGTCTCTTCCTAGGCCGTCCTTTCCAATCACCCCGTGGCCTGCGTTTTGGTGAACGTTGTGCGAGTAGTTCGCCATCTCATGCTCAACGGAGTTCCGGACCAGTGGGGTCAGCTATCGGAATATGTGAGTCCTGACCCTTTTCCATCTGCTTCATCTGTCTCCAGCGTAGCTTACATGCTGTAGCCTGTTGTTCGGATGCATTGTGTTGCGAGTTATAGATCCCGCATTAGGTGTGCATGGCATCAAGTCACCAACATGCTTCGTTGATTTTTTCAGAGACACGAAACTGCGCATAATTATTTGTAAATTAGGCCTGCACTTTCTGCATAGGACTACCTCGAAAGCAATGTCATTTAAACAGAAATTGACGAATGTGTTGTCCTATAGCGCACAGTAGAGCCCACCTCTAGAGTTGTGGATTCTATTTACCGTTTAAAGGTAGAGAGCCGAGAAGGCCAGTGAATCCTGCAAGTAGATCTTTGAGAAGTTGTCAGGGCAACTTTATCCGCCGTAGGCAGGCAGGCAATTAGCCCTTGTTGGATCCGGAACCCCGCCGGGTTGGGCCTCAATCCCGGCGGCGAGGAGGAGGAGGAGTCGGAGCAGCATAGTCAGGAGGGGCTGCTCTGTCATAAAAAACAGATAGAGAGGAGAAGAGATGA